TAGAAATGCTTTCTATTTTGGCACACCCAAAAAGACACATAGGAGAAGTAGAGACCCCTGGAAGGAGCTCTGGTGGTGTAGTGGTTAAGGCATTTGCCTGCTAACCAAAATGGTGGTGGTTTGAACCCTTCAGCTGCTCTGTGGAAGAAAGATGAGGGGATCTGCTTCTGTAAAGATTTACAGCTTTGGGAACCCAATGGAGGGGGGTGTGTCACTACAAGTCGTAATCAACTCAGTGACAGTGAGTGAGAGATCCCTGGAGGACTGTCTCTCCTGACATACCTCATGCTGGTTTCATCCTCAAGTTAGCTCCCCACACAGCTAAACATTGGCTGTTATCAATATGCATGGGGAGAGATCCTTGCTCCTAACAACCACCCAACAAGTTTGAGCTTCTACGTGATGCGATGATACATGAACTGAGGCCAGGGTAATGTTCTTGACTGAGGTCTATGTTTTGTACTCTTTCTGAACTAATCTCTGTGGTATGGAGGAGGGAATGGACTTACATCACGGAACGAGCTGGGATGGGGGGGGGTCAGTTTGACCTAAACTAATAGCTGCAAGCCAGTGAGGGAGAGAGAGGATGTTAGGGAGGTAACTACTACCTATTATACATGGTCTCTAAATGATATAATTCAGAAATTTTGGTCTTTTTCTGATTTTTCCAAATCAAATGAAGTGAAGAAAAAGAAATCAGAACTTTTTGACCTTCTTTTTTATACCTTAATTGTAGAAAATCTTACTCTTTCATTCTATTCATATTAATTGAGCACTGATTATGTGTCAGAAACTACATTCGAGTTGGAGATACAATTCTAAATAAATTAGAAGTGCCCTTCATTTTTGCAAGGTTAATAATCTAGTATAGGATTCAGGCAAGTTAATAGACATTTAGAATGACAAGAAAGTACAAAATAATGGTAGCACATGGGAGAAAAATCCATCCTGGACACTGAGGTGTTGGGAAAGGCTTTCTAGAGAAATGCAACATCTATTCTGAGGTCAAAAGGATGAGAAGGAAATATCAGATGCTGCTTGTGTGGGTAATGCCTGGATAGCTTGGAAGAATGCCCAAGCAGATGGAAGAACAAGGCAAGTTAGAGAAACAAAAAGTAGTTCTGCATTTCTGAATCATAAAATTCAAGGTGAGAAACAGTAAGCAATGAGGCAGAAGAAATGGGGAGTGGGAGGCAGACGGAGCCATCTATGTAAAGGAGTTTGAATTTTATTCTGAGAGCCCTTGAGGATGTTAAGCAGAGGAAAAATAAGATCAATACTGCATTTCAGAAAGATCATCCAGGCTGTAGAGTGAAAATGGATAGGTGAGTGGAAGCAAGGCTGGGACAGGTAAACCAGTTAGGAGATTGTTGCTGAAGTCCAAACCAGAGATTGAAGTCATCCTGGCAGTGGGAATGGTGTCAAGGGGCAGATATACAATATACTTAGAAGTTACTAAGAAGATCTACTCATCGGTCTTTATAGGTAGTGGGTTGCATGAGATGAGTATAAGGAAGTAAGTCCTAGAGGCAGGATAACGATGATTAAAAGTAGATATTTTAAATTAAGGAGATATTGGTTTAAATCCCGGCTCTATTACTTAGGATGGGGGGTGATGGGTGGAGTGGGGTGGGAAAATGACTTTAAATTCACTAAAGCTCAGATAATTGCCAATAAAATAGAGGCACTAACAATTAACTAGCAGGATTTCTCTGAGGGTGAAACAGAATGAGTTAAGATCTTGGCACAGAATAAATATTCAATAACTTACAACAGTTTTGAGTTCCTGGTTTTGTCTGAAGGAACTGGTTCAATGGAGAAACTATTCATTAATTATAGCAATTTGAAATGTGCTGCTGCAAGTAACAGTAAGCCCAAGTTATAGTGGTTTGAGGAGCCTTAGTGAGGCAGTGGTTAAGTGTTTGACTGCTAACCAAAAGGTCAGTGGCTTGAAACTACCAGCCACTGTGTGGGAGAAAGATGTAGCAGTCTGTTCCTGTAAACATTATAGCCTTGGAAACCCTGTAGGTCAGTTCTAGTCCATCCTATAGTACAGAACCCAGTATGACTCTCACTATGAATCAGAACTGACTCAAAAGCAACAGATTTGGTTTGGTTTATGGTAGTTTAAACAAATATATGTTATTTTTCTTACAAACAAGAAGACTGGAAGAGGATAGCTGTTGGCATTGGTTCAGTAGGACTGGAATTTCTACAGTGATCATAGCTTTTCTTAGGACATGGTCACAATATGGCTGCCCCAGTTCCAGCCTCCAGCATTACATTTACATTCAAGTCAGGGTTGAAGGGAAGTAGGCATAGAAGAAGGATAATGGTTAGCCAATTATTTTGAGTTAGGGAACAAAGAAGGAGAGACAGAATTTTGGATAAAAGTAATGAACTTGGTTTTGAACATACTGAATTTTAAGTTTCGGTGATATAGGAAGAGATTTAGTAGTCAGTTGTATATACTTTTCTGGAGCTAAGGAAAAGTATTTGGGATTGGGGGCAAGGTTGAATTCTGTAGGAATGATGAGAGGACCCATAAAAAGGGTGTAGAGTGAGAAAAGAAGACAGTCAGGATGTAGCCCTGTTGAACACCAGAATTTAGTGGGTGGTTAGAGGTAGAGAATGTACCAATGGAGAGAGGAAGGAGTGGCTAGAGAGGCAACAGAAATGCCAAGATCATGTTGTATCATAGAAGCCTGTGGAAGTATTATGGATCGAATTGTGTCCTCCCAAAATATATGTTTACTTGGTTGGGCCATAATCCTCAGTATTTTGTAATTATCCTACATTTTGTAATTTGATGTAATTATTCTGTGTGTTGTAAATTCTCACCTCTTTAATGTTAACAAATCTATCTTGGAAAAAGTGCAGAATGCTCCCTAGAAGAGAGAATGGCCAGACTTCATCTGACCTACTTTGGTCATGTGGTCAGAAGGGACCCTTCCCTGAAGAAGGATATCATGCTTAGTAAAGTGGAAGGCCAGAAATAAAGGGGAAGATACTCAATGAAATGGACTGACACAGTGGCTGCAGTGATGGGCTCAAGCATAGCAAAGTATGTGAGGATGGCGCATGACCAGGCAGAGTTTCATTCTGTCGTACATAGGGTCACTATGAGTTGGAGCTGCCTCAACAGCACCTAACAACAACAACAACAACAACATGTTAATGAGGCAGGATGTAATCTACAGGATTAGGCTGGATCTTGAATTGATCTCTTTTGAGATATAAAAGGGATTAAACAACCCAGCAGAGGGACTTCAGTACCACCAAGAAAGAAGAACCTTTAGCCAAACCCATCTTTGGACTCAGGATTCCTGTGCTGGGAACCTCCTATACCCAGAGGAAGGTTGATGCCAAGACACATGAAGATCTCCAAGGAATGCTGGGTCCACAGATGCTGAAAGGAGACAAGGACTTTCCTCCTAAATTGTGAGCCAATAGAGAGAGAACCCCTCCCCCTAGAGCTAGCTGAATTTAGACTTTTAGCCACTGAAACTAGGAGAGAGCAAATTTCTGTTTGTCAGAGAGTAAATTTCTGCTTGTTAAAGCCACCCACTCCTAGTATTTCTGCTATAGCAGCAGTAGAGAAGGCAGAAAATGTCTTAAGGAGAACACATTATTGACTTGGTTGTCAATATCAAGTGTAAACAAAAAGAAGGAGATTAGAAGTTACTGTGTGAAAAGCCTTTTCTGTTGTGGAAACAGAAGCTAGATTATAGAGAAGTGAGAAAATAGAACAAATATAAAACTTTTTTTTCCTTCTCTCAGAGCTCATATTTTTGAGTTTCACTTACAACATTTTTCACTTTTTTAGAGAAAGTGAAAGCAATTCATCTTTCTGAAAAGAATTAAATGTGGATGAGTGTCTGGTCCTCATAACCTCTAGGGGGTCTTCTAATGCAGAAAGCCTTTGATTTCATTGATGACACACAAATAAATAAAACCACTCAACACTTTTGTCTTCTGAGGAGGAAAGACTGTGGAAATGTTAATGGTATGGTGCTTCCTCGTATTGGAACAATTAGATTGTCTGGAAGTCACTTTTGTCTTGTACTATATGTAACACAATCTAGCTTTCCTACGCTCTTCTTTATTTAGTGTGTTTTTGTGCAGATGGAAAATAAAACTATATGGGAAAAACAAAAATGCTCCATTTGTATGTTTCTGATATACTGTGTTAAGATTTAAACATTAAAATAATTTTGGACCACATATGAAATCTACTTTTAAATTGGACAAGCTAGCTTCAGAATATGTGATGAGAAAGTATAAAACCAAAACAAAAAACAACCTTATAGTGACATTGTATACAATTGGCTGTAGGATTCAGGTTTAAGAAAATTGTCAGGAATGAAGAAAATTAAACACATTTTAAACACATACCTTTAAAATTTTAGATATGTACCTAAAACTATGCAATAGACTTTTAAGAAAGTTATAAAAATGTAGTTTCCAGGGAGTCTATTGCTTTCTCTCTTCCTGTAAAAATATATCATAGTTTAGAAAAATACTTTTCAGAGTAGGAGTTATTTATTTTTTAAAAATAAGTTTTTATGTTTTATTTCCTCTTATGGGATTAATTCTGCAGTGAACGCTTAGAAAAATAATAATTGTACCCACGGTAACTCCTTTCTGTATTTTATTCATCAGTGTGACAGTTCTCACAACATTTATTTGACAGCTCTAATCCTCCTTTTTCTAGTAGTTTAGTTCTCACAGCTCATATTTTAAGATGTCACAGCGGCAGAAAGATGAAAAACTTCATGTCTCCTCTACTATTTATATAACTATGAAATGTAAGTTTTCAACTCATTCTTTTAATCTGTTGGTGCGAGAGAATTTTTGTTCTCCCCTCTTCAATCTTACCCAAAATGGGTTCAATCTCCTGTGTACGGGGTTGCTTTCTTTTCCGTGAAGGTGGGCTGAGCAAAGGAGCGTGACGCAAGAGTGGGCTGGCTGGGAGAAAGCGGCCTTGCGTTCTTGTGAATGAGCCCATTCGCAGCGCAAATTCGAAGCGGCGGCTAGGGCTGCGGCGGCTCGAGCAGCGGAGGCTCTGCGCATCCCAGTCCTGCCTCCTTGGCAGGAGCCCGAAGCTAAGTGCTCATCCTAAACCCCACCCAGGCTTCCTCTGTCTTTTCAAGTTCTTCATGCTGCCCAACTAAAAGGAGAAAATGGGCACGGGGGATTTTATCTGCATTTCCATGACCGGAGGGGCGCCCTGGGGGTTCAGATTGCGAGGTGGCAAGGAGCAGAAGCAGCCCTTACAAGTTGCTAAGGTAGGACCCTGACAGCAACGTTACCACCGCTCTGTGCTGGGTGGAAAGGAAGTAGCAACCTGTTGATGGGGTTTTCAAATTCTGCTTTAGAAGTCTGTATGTTCGTTTGATTTTGGCTGTTTTGTTTCAGTTCATGCTTTAAGAAGCCTTGAATGGTAATATATACCATATATGTAACTAATTTGCAATTAAAAAGACAAGAGTGCTGTATTAAGCAACTGACGATAGGACTTTTTAATCATCTTCACGGACAACCATTAGGAAACTTGGGAAAGTTTCATCTAGGCAGCATTAGAATATGCTGTTGAATTTTTGTTTCATGTCACTTTATTTAGCTCTGGCAAGAGAGAAATGCTCAACTCAGCATAACCAATCAGACTAGCTATTTTGAGGACTCTTATAAAGTGTTACTAGTGGCATTTATTATGCAGCATTCAAGAAAGAGCCAATTTTGGGCAATAATGTTTGAACTATGTCATAAAATCTATTTAGAAGAATACCTTTTAAGGATTTGACAAATAAATGCAAAATCCAAGTATTCTTTTCCATCATTTGTACTCATCTGTATAAGAACTCAAAATAAAATTCAAAGAGACTCATAAATATATTGTAAGTAGCTTAGAGGAAACTTCACAATGCATCTAATAGCTATTTTAAATGTTTTATGTGTTTTTGTTGCCATTAGATGATTTGTTTTTGTAGCTTAATATACTATCAGTTTATTTGGGGGGCTCTGATAATGTCTAATTGGGACTCAACTAAGATGAATTTTAAAATGCCTGAGACCAAGCCATCATTTACCTGATTCTAACATTATATTGTCAAATTATATGAAAGCGCATGCTTGCTTAATTTCCTATTTAATGCATATGTTAAAAATAGATCCAGATCTTTATGAAATATATGGAATACTTGCCTTTGTAGGTATTCCTTCCCTTTGGCTTTTACTTTTTAAAAATGTTCAGTAAAAAGAAAGGAGTTTTTTTTTTTTTCCCCTTTAATTTCTCCTCCTAGGCATCCATCAGAAAAACCTTTCAGAATATGATGGTGGAATCCTGCCACCTAGTGAAAATTTCAAACATTAAGAATGAAGCATAAAACAGGAGATGAAATGCAGAATTTTTAGAACTGAAAAATTTCTCAGAAATCTCCAGTTCAACTTCTCTAACTTTAGACGAGGAAAGAGCCAGGAGAGGTTAAGTAGCTTACTTAACCTCAATTCAAAAATTGCTCAAAAATTCTATGACCCTAATGGTTATTTTAGAATCACTTATCTGCTTGTTGGAATTTGGGGGCAGAAATCCCCAGGAGCTGTTATCCTCTGGTGGCTCTTTGGTAGCTAGACTTTAAGAGTCAGTGATGGGTTTCTCCTGAGTTCTTTGTACATTGATTTTAAGGTGGAACCACCTTCTGGTGATTCTTGAAGAAGTGAAGCACTTTGCTAGTAGCTTACCTCCAGTCCTCAGCTTTGAACTGGCAGAGTGGTTAAAGGAGACAGAAAGGTGGTTTCATTAGATTTCTTTAGTAATCGATAGACGGCAACATCAGATAAAATATTAATACTTATGTAGAATTCATCAGACTGAAGTGAACTTGAGTTTTGAGTAGCTATTGGCTGGCTCTGGTTACTGAGATTTGGGTTCTAATCCCAGCTCTAATTTACAATCTGCTCTCAGACAGATCTCTAACCCTTCCTGTGGCATCTCTCATCTGTCCTCTGTGTGTGTGTGTATGTGTGTGTGTAGGGAGAGAGAGAGACAGAAATTTTGAGTGAGGTGGAGCAGGAGAGAAAAGAGGAGGGAATGGGACTGTAAAATCAGTGAGGTTTTATCTTGCTCAAAAATTTTAGAATCACTTATCTGCTAGTTGGAATTTGGGGACAGAAACGCCTAGGAGCTGTTATTCTCTGGTGGCTGTTTGGTAGCTAGACTTTAAGAGTTGGTAATAAGTTTCTCCTGAGTTCTTTGTACATTGATTTCAAGGTGGAACCATCTTCTAGTGATTCTTCAAGAAGTGAGGCACTTTGTTAGTGAAGGGTATTTATAGAGGGATCTCAGTGTTCTGTGGAGGCATTTCACCACATTTTCCCATTTCTCTGATGGTTTGCCAGGATATAGAGGGCCCGTTAGACCAAAGGAGTCCTGGTAGAGTACTGGTTAAAGAGATTGACTGCTAACCAAGATGTCAATGAATGATTCAAACCCATCAATTGCTCCATGAGAGAAAGATGTGGCAGAAGGCTTCCATAAAGATTCCCACTGCCATCGAGTTGGATCCAACTCATAGCGACCCCTCCTTGGGTTTCCAAGGCACTATCACTACGGAAGTGGATTGCCCAACCTTCCTTCCAAGGAGTGGCTGGTGGGTTTGAACCCGTTGGAAGTCCTGTAGGGCAGTACTACTCAGTCCTAGAGGGGCGTACTGAGTCAGAACCAACCCCACGGCAGTGGGTTCAGTGGGCTAAACTGTATGATCATCAAATAATTCAGTGCTGCACTCCCCCAAAATTATCTTTCCCAAAATACCCTGGCAATATACTTGCTTTTAAGCAAAATCATTAATTTTTATTTTTTATGGGTAACACTTTCTTTCTTTTTAAAATTGTGCTGTAGGTGCAAGTTTACAAAGCACAGTTTGTTTTATATTCAACATTTAGTGTACATTTGGTTTCACTCCCCAGTTACCATCTCCAATCCTAACCGACTCTCCACCTCTCGCTGCCCAGTAGCCCTCCCCCTGGCCTGTGCCCCTCACAGTTATGCACTCCTGTGTTTCCTGCATTTCCTCCATGCGAATGTTGCCCCTCTGGTGCCCTGTGGTCAATTGCTCCAAGGGATGCATCTCCATAGAGTATGTGGGTGCATCACCCTGGGTTGAATGGTCTGCATGTACATCTTATTTATTATTGGGTCAGCCCCTGGGAATGAGTTTTATTTCAGGCCCAAAGTGTATCCCAGGGCCATAGTATTGGGGGCCCCACCAGAGTCTATCCAACCAGTAATTCTGGTCATTATTGTGTTTTTGAATTTTGTTCTGTGTTTTTCCTCCCACTCTATCCAGGATCTCCAGTTTTGACCCCTTCCCAAGTGGTTGGCATTGGTAGCCGGGCATCATCTAGTGTTTCTGGTCTCACAGGCCATCATGTCCTAGGGCTGACTGCTTCCAAATGCCCTTGGTTATTTTCACTCTTCTTCATTTCTGACAATAGGAGACCATTAGCTGCATCTTAGATGGCTTCTTGAAAGCTTTTAAGACCCCAGTCATTACTCACTAATGTAGGATGAGGAACAAGACTTTTAGGTATTTTGTTGTGCCAATTGAGTCTGTTGTCCCCCAATACTATGGTCCTGAGTCGGTAGATCCATTGGGTCTCTCTCCCACAGTGTCTGGCTGTCTGCGAGGGATTGCTCTATGTCTGTCTTCTGTTGTTTCTCTAAGGATTGTGGATATTTTGTATCACTGGTATCTGTGCAAGATTAGCTTCAGCTGAATCTATCCTTGGTCTAGAGTATCCTGATCATCTCAGATGTTTATGTGTTTATCTGTAGCCTGGTGTTTGGTGTTAATGGTAATGCAGTATTGTGTATATACTGGTATTAGCCTCTGTCATCTATATCTTACATGCACAATTCAGTGTCCTCCCTTTCCCTAATATTATCATGGTGGTCACAGACTCTTTCCATACCATCCCTCCCCTTACCCACTTCAGCATGTGGCCCCCAATTAGCCCGAAATTAATCCCTCCTCTTCCCTCCCCACCCGGTAACCTACAAAGTGAGTTTCCTTCAGTAAGGAAACCCTTCTTTGTCCTTTTACAGTAATGGACTCATACAGTATTTGTCCTTCTGAGATTGACTTATTTCACTCAGTATAATGTCCTCCAGATTTGACCACATTGTGAGATGATTCGTGTATCCTTCATTGTTCTTTAATGTAGTATAGTATTCCATTGTGTGAATGTACCATAATTTGGTTATCCATTTATCCATTGATGGACATTTAGGTTGTTTCCATCTCTTTGCTGTAGTGAATTGTGCTGCAATGAACATAGGTGTGCATATGTCTGTTCGTGTCCTGCCTCTCACCTCTTTAGGATATATTCCTAATAATGGAATTGCAGGGTCAAATAGTATTTCTATTTTCAGTTTTCTAAGGAAAGGCCATACCGTTTGCACAATCATTGTACCATTTTACAATCCCACCAGCAGTGTATAAGAGTTCCAATCTCTCTGCAACTTTGCCAGCATTTGTTATTTTCTGTCCTGTTGAACTTTGCTGTTATTGCTGGGGTGAGATGATATCTTGTTGTTTTGATTTGCATCTCTCTAATGACTCAATGGCACATAACAACAACAACAACAACTAAAGATCAGAAGCAATTCCTCATGTGTTTGTTGGTTGCCAGCATATCATCTTCAGTGAAGTGTCTGTTCAAGTATCTTGCCCATTTTTGAATTGGATTGTTTGTCTTCTTGGTGTTGAGATGTTGAAGTTTTCTATAGATTTTGGAGATAAGTCCTTTGTCAGATATGTCATAAGCAAATATTTTCTCCCAATCTGTAGGTTCTCTTTTTACCCTTTTGACGAAGTCTTTTGAGGTGCATAAGAATGTAATTTTTGAAAGATTCCAGTCATCTAGCTTCTCTTCTACCGCCTGTGCATTCTGGGTTATGTTTGATAGTCTATTTATGCTGTAAATTAGGGCTCCTAGATTTGCTCCTATTTTATCTTTGATGAATTTTATAGTTTTGGGTTTTACATGTAAGTCTTTGACCCAGCTTGAGTTTGTTTTTGTGTATGGGGTGAAGTATGGGTCTTGTTTAATTTTCTGCAAGTGGATATCCAGTTTTGCCAGCACCATTTGTTAAAGAGGCTATCTCTTCCCCATTTAATGGGGTTTGGACCTTTGTCAAAGATCAGCTGTCCATAGATGGATGAGTCTATTTCTGGGCTTTTGATTCTGTTCCATTGGTCTATCTGTCTGTCATTGTACCAATACC